TAGGGTTGGTATGTAAAATGAAAAATTTTTAAACAGAAAGAGAAAAAACATGCATTGCACATAGGTGTCAAAACTTCAAAGAATAAGTGAAAATATTATTTTAAAAAATAGGTAAGTCCTCCTAGAGTTAAAAGATAGATTTCTCACAATGTAAGTACACAATAACAATAACTATTAATAACTGAATAAAATAGCTATTAATAAAAGTAATGGGACAAGGAAGAGGTATCCTTAAAAATACTTAGGACTGTCAGATAGTGGTGGTGGCACACACCTTTAATCTCATTATTTGGGGGGCATAGGCAGGTAGATCTCTGAGTATGAGGCTAGCCTGGTCTACAGAGCAAGTTCCAAGACAGCCAGGGATCCACAGAGAAACCCTAACTCAAAGAAAAGTATAGAGCTAAGGTATTGGGTCTGGAGAAATGATTCTCAACAGTTAAGAGCACTTGTTGTACACAGGATATGAGTTCAGTTCAATGCAGCTGCATGGTAGCTTTTATCCCTCTGTAGCTACAGACCCAGGGAAGCCCAATTTTTCTTCCTTTTTTTTTATTAAAAACTATTATTCATGCAACATATTTTAATCATGTTTCCTCTCCAACAATTCCTTCCAAATCCTTCCCACCTCCCTACACACTCAACTTTATATTCTCTCTCTTTAAAAAAGCAAGAAACAAAAATAAAAAAACAAACAGAAAACAAAAGTGAATTTTTAAAAAAGGCAATAAAACAATAAAAAAATGCCAAAAGGAAACAAAAGTTCTACAAAAATACCAGGGAGCTTGTTTTTCACAGTTAATATACGCAGTGACACTTCCTTGGAGAAAGTTGATTTTACTTTTGAAAGAGGCTGTCATTTTCTGATAGCTAGCTCCTTGGTTGGAGGTGGGACCTTGTGTTCACTGCACTTCCCTGTCTCTCTGAAGGGACTCCATCCCCCCCTTACCTAACCCTATATAAGTCTTGAGATGCTGCCACAGTCTTTGTGACTTCATATGTGCATTAGTCCTGCTGTGTCTAAGGATAGCATTGCCTTGGATTCATCAATTCCTTCTGGCTCTTAAGATCTCTTCCACGTAGATCCCTGAGTCTTGAAGGGAGGAGTTTGATGACTATGTCCCATTTATGACTGGGAGCTCCAAAATCTTTCATCTTCAGCATGTAGTCTAGTTTTGGGTCTCTGTGCTAATTGCCATATACTACAAGAAGAGCTTTCTATGGTGTGAGTTGAGGAAACTACTGATCTATGGGTATAGCAGTATGTCACTAGGAGTCATTTTATTGCTATGTTCCTTTAGCAGAATAATACTATTGTGTTTTCTGCTAAGTTCATGATCTATCTAATTTTGGGTCTTGAACATTATAGCAGTATCAAGCATAGGTTGCACTTCACAAATGGGCCTTAAATCTAATTTTAAAAATTGATTGGTTACATATGGGTGTTTGCTCCTATTTTTAACAGGCATTAGTTGAGGGCTCAATGGAGAAGTTAGTTGTTGATCTCACTTTCCGGGAAGGGCATTTATGATAGCCTTTCCACGGAAGCTGAGATTGTTAGTTGGGGGCAGTCTTGTAGTTCTCTCGACCTTTCTTTGTGTTCAACTTTATCTTCAAACCAATATTGGCTCCCTCTTTTATGTTCTCTCTCTCTGTCTCTGTCTCTCTCTCTCTTTCCTATCTTCAATTCCTAACTAGGCTCAATCCTCAAGTCGAACTAGAACCCAGAAGCAGATGGAGAGGACAAGACCATGCGGTAGAAGCACATAGAGACAGCTTACCTGAACAAGGAGGAGCTAAGGGCCACTAGACTGATAGCTGGGAAGCCAGCAGGGGACTGACTCGGGCCCCCCTGAATATGGGTCTCAGCCAGAAGGACTAAGCAGTCTAAGAGACCTCAGACAGTGGAGCCAGGATGTATCCCTGGTGCACAAAAGGACTTTGCAAACATATCCCCCATGGAGGGATAACTGCCTTATTCTAGAGCCAGGAGAGAAGCCCTAGTCCCTACTTCACAGGACCTGTCACATCTACATGACCCCAACTGGATGGCATTCCCCTACATATGGAATTGTGGTGGGGGGATGGGATGGGAGGGTGTTTAGAGTGCATATGAGAAGGCAGAGAGGGTAAAAGGGAGGGAAGGAGGGAGGGAGGGCTGGAGGGGAGAGAGGGAGGGAGGGGAGGGAGGGAGGGAGGGAGAGGGAACTGGGATCAACATGTAAAATAATAAACTTAAAAAAAATGCTTTGACTCCAAAATTTAACTTGAAGAACAAGTTACTGGGAAAAAGGATTTCTATTTTTGTTTCCACAGAAAATGAAAAGATGTGGATTCCTTCCAGACTAATGTGGTTTGATCACGCCAGACCGCCTGAAACAGAGTACAAGCTGATCCTACATTCAAAACAGCTGGACAAAACAGCCCTACAGACTACAGCTAGGATATCTGAATCTTCTTCGAAACCCCCAAGACAGCGCCCCTTACCAGCAGGAAGTAGTTTGGAAAGAACGACGCCCAAATTCCCAAATATTGTGTATAAATGTTTGTTTTCATTTAATTGGACTTTGTTATATAAAATTAAATTAAAAAAAGAAAAAAAATTGACTGGTTACTCCCATAATACTTGTGCCATTATTGTACCAGTATGTCTTGGAGGTAGGTACTATTTTAGGTTACAGGCTTTGTAGCTGGGTGATTTTGACAATTACCTTTTTCTTCTAGTAGTGTGAAAAGTATTTTCTAATATCACAGACACTATTTAGTAAGGATGAAACTTCTAGTTATGCACCAACTCAACTTTTGTGTGCTCAGTGCAATAAGGAAGTATAAGCCTTGGCAATATGGCCTTGCCGTCACAATATAGAGAGTAACTAATAGCCTTAGCAATAGCCTGTGATATTTCAGGATTCCGTGGAACCCCTTTTGCCACTAACTAAACAAGATGTTATGCAGTCCTGGCAGTGGAATTTTAATTTGATGACTTATGATATCTATTTGGGGCCCTGTCTCCCATATAATTTGGAGACTCAATTTAGATTCATTTCATATACACTTATATCCTAGGAAGCTCTATAGCAGTAGGTTTCTATGTTTTTCAAGTAACATTTAGTATTACTTGTTTTGCTATTTTCTTATCATTCTCTTATTGTCTGTAGTTTCTGTATAGTATTCCCTTACTCGTTTATAATATGTTAATATATGCATTTTTATTTCTTATAGCAGGGATATTCTAATTGGACTCTATTATGTTTTGGTCAAGACAATTTATTCTTTTTTTTGAAGGCATATAACAGAATCTCTAGGCTTCTAGTAGATCTAGAACTTAATCACTCAATAAAAGAAACAAAAAGTTTCCTACATTTATTCCAATGCCCTGGAGAGGATCAAAATAGTGGGCAACTAATATCCTTATAGTCAATCTGACTTTTTCTCTAGAAATATTTCTGAGAGTGGCACAAACAAAAGGCATAGTAAATTTGGTATAAAATTACAGGCATTGTTATATTTCAAGCAAACTGAATATCATGAGAGTTTTTGAGAAATGTGAAGGCACACACACACACACACACACACAAATAAACAAATAATAAATGATCAAATGCAATGACAATAATAAAAGCATGATGTCCAGTTGATAGTGTAGATTGAAACCTAAAGAGCCTGTAGAAATGGGGAGTCTTAGCATAGTTAATGGGAAAAACCCACCATGGTTTTAAGACTCTTCAGATTGAGTTTTCCCATTAGTGAAAGTATACCTAGGTAGAACAATTTGGAGAAAATTCATTCAAAGAATAATTTTTACGAAAACTTTAAGGAATAGAAGAAAAAGTTGCAATGATTGAGTCCAAAGTATGATGATTATATAATCAAAAGTCCACAGTCTATCACTACTTTAAGGCACTATTACAATAAAAATTATGATACACATGTACCACTAGAAAAGTACGATATTAAAAGGATAATACATATAAAACAAAGTGTTCCACAGATCTCAATTATGCACGAATTTATGCACATTTCATATGCATCAGAATATAGATGAATACAGAAAGATAAATTAAAACGGCATCAAAATTTTTACAAATAGTTCATCACGTGAGCAAAATAGACCAAATCTTTTAAGTTTGCTTCCTTTGTTAGATAACATCAATTAGCAGTGAAATCACTTTATATTCTTCTTCATATTTATAAGCATATTTCATCTTAGATTTATTGAGATATTTTACCCTCCTGGCAAGTATTTTTCCAATGGAAGGGCTACCTCCTAAAGAATTAAAGGCATCATCATCTCCCCAGCATCCCTGTTCCATAGGGACTGAATTAACATGAGCTGGAGCATCATGCTTCTTTACAAATATTGCTAACCGAATGTACTAGCCAATCTCTCCATAGTGCTTATCTGTTTGGAATGGAAACCTGTCATGTTCTCTCAAGAAGTTTGACACCAATGAACACACCAAACTGGATGGAGAAAAACCCACAAGGCCTCAAAACTACACCAAGAACTACAGACCAGGAAGGAAAGTTTGGCACAGAAGAGGTTGCCTTCCCCATGTAAGAGCACACTAATTGTTTGTCCATTGCCAAATGGTCAACTCTAAAAACATATTTTATAAGATACAAACAGAACATTTTACAGACAGAACAAGTTATATTTAGGAATATGTATTTATATAAATATTTACATGCAATAAAAATTAGTTTCAAACAGAGGCCATGAATTTCAAAGAGAGCATGTATATAGAAAGTTTGAAGGGAGGAAAAAGAAAAAAGAAATAGTGTAATCAAACAATAATCTCAAAATTAAAAAAATATTTTCCCTTTAGTACATATTAGCAAGTATGTATGCTTCTTAAGTTGAATAAATTGCCCCCTTTTCATTGTGCATGCACCCACAAAAAGATCAGTACTTACTATCTAAAACCACCAACATTTGATTTTTCCCACCCTGTATGAGGGATAGGATAGGGAATCACCATTGTTCTATAAGCCCTTACCTATAAATCTGCATCCACACAGAGAGCCTCCTCAGAACAAATAAGAAACAGCAGGTTACCCCCCCCCCCGAAATGGTAGCATTCACAGTGTTTTGGTAAATGTTTTACAGAAATCTTTAGAGTGGAGATGTACTCTGGACCTTGCTTTTTGCTGGAAAGCGAGAAAACAAAATTCTGGGTTTCTTGAAGGTCAGAAGTATCCAAGTTCTCCCCATTGATGTGTGCCCAGGAAGATGACTGTGCAAATTTAAGATCCTGATTTTGAGATCTCAGCTTTTTATGCATTGTTTTCTCTGCCCACAGGAAAACAACTGGCCAGGACTAGGAAGGCTATGTGACTGTTTAGGAAATATTGTTTTCATTTAATTGGACTTTGTTATATAAAATAAATTTAAAAAAAAGAAGAAAAAAAAGAAAATATCGTTCATTTCTTCACTCCCAATTGCCTGCTGCAGTAACAAGATTGAAGCCAGAGGTGTTGGGTGGAATTAGTAAAAAGCAGAGTTCCTTATCTATTTGCATACAAAGCAGACTCCTCATGTATAAGGCAGCTGAGAATTTCCTCCATATTTCAGCCTCATGGCTGTGTGTGCCTCAAACAGCACACAGTAGTGCAGACTAAGCAATCAGCAATAGCAGTCTTTTGACAAAGATATATTTGTTTTATTTTGTGTGTATGAGTGTTTTGCCTGCATGTATCTAAGTGAACCACGTGATTGTCTGACACCTATGGAAGCCATAAGATGTTTCAAATCTACCAGAACTGAAGTTACAAATGGTGCTGCCATGTGGATGCTGGGAACTGAATCCGGGTCTTCTGGAAGAGCAGCAAGTGCCCTTCACTACTGAGTCATGCCTGTACCTAGTAACATTCGTGATAGCAAAGGAAGTTTTGGCACAGAGAGGCTGGATATCTCGACATTGGTTATGTAGACTATGAGTTAGGAAAATGTCATTTCACCACAGCGATCACCATCCAGAGGACTCCCTGTACTCACCTTGTTCTACCTTGATTGTTTGAAATCAGGAAAGAGTACAATAAACACAAAGGGAAATATTCTAACAGATTTAGGACTTATCTGTTTTGCTTTTTAAATACTGGCAGACTAAAGATATATTTAGTAAGAGGAACAGGGCTACAACTGTGCCTGTATACAGTAGACAGGAATTGTTTCTGGAAAGTTTTCCCTCTAGTCCTGAGCACCCACCCATGTAAGAGGCTGGGTGACATGGCGGCATGCACCTGGCATTGAAGTCAGGGTCAGGAAGATCCCTGGGGCTGACTGGCTAGCTAGAGTAGCCGCTCAGGGAGATGCAGTTTCAAAGCAATCTTGTCTCAAAAAAATAAGCAGAGAAATGTAAACGAAGACACCAAATCTTACAGACCCATAGCCAGCATCTGGGATGGACTTCTGATGGAATCCCTGAACTCCAACAGCTTTAAGTAGCCTGTCCTCTCTAGCTCTGTTACCTGTAGTACATCTCTCTTAGGCCAGTTCCACGAATGTTTGCAGCTTCCATTAGAGACTGATGTTAACACTTCTAACATCTGTGGGTCTTCACTGTAACTTAGGCCTCACACTCACAGCCTCATGCAGTGTCTTCTCAGGTCCTCTGCAGGGGTTCTTAGCCTCCACACATTGCTTGGCCTCAGTAGCTGTCTAGAATGTTGGTACAAGAATGTATGATTCCCTTCACTTTGGTATTTTGCATTCATGAATAACCTACAAAGTTCTGCTGAAATTTGTATAGTCTGGCCTCTTTCTCTCTACTACAGTGGCCTTTGTATGCCTCAACACTAGAACCCAGGAAAACATCTCTGTGGGTGTTTTATTGTTTTTGTTGTTGTTTTATAAATACAACAGCATTGTTACTTCAGGTTTTCCCTTTGTAAGTGAAGCCTCATCTCTACAACCTGGATCCTTTAGTAGCTGAAGCCTCGTCCTTAAGGTACCTTTCGTGTTTTCTCAGTGCAAAGTGTGAGGTTTCTCCTTAAGGCACCACGTCTTTCATAATTATGAATGTGTTTTCCAAACCTGTTATGTTTGCAGCATTTAAACTCACTTTGCTCACTAAACTGTACATTTTGCCATATTTCTGCTATCTGTCATTATAGATATGAAAAGGGCAGTGAGTATAGCCATTCCTTAGCCCAAATGTTCTATTTTTTTCAAATTTCCTCTGCCAGACAATGATTCACATTTTTAAAATTCACCGTGAGTCCTATTTCTAGGATCCCAGCAGAATAAAGCCAAATTACTTGCCAGCATGCAACACGAATGGCCCTAATGCACATCTCAATAGAGTCCTTATTCTATTTTGAAACTTAATGAGCTGGACTTTCACAGTCTGCATTTCTACAAGCATTTTTCTCACTCTCACAAAACTGGCCCATTAAGATCTTCTGACAACATTCTAGTTCTTCTGTAGCCTGCAGCTCTGAACTCCCCCATTCCCTTCCCAAGAATCAGTCCTATGAAACACGATCAGGTTTATCACTGCAACACTCTACTTTTTGGTACCAAGTTTTAGCACTTACTTATCACTCTGATAACAATATTAACATAAGAAGAAGGGTTTTTATTTTAGCTCATGCTTTAAGGGTACACTCTATTGTGGTGGGAAAAGCATGGCAGAGTTCATAGTAGCAGCAGCATGTGTTAAGACTCCTCATATGTGACTGGACCAAGGTAGTAGAGAGGAGAGACCACCCCCTCCAATCACTGTGGTCATGTCATATGAATTCTTTGTTTTTCCATTTTTATTCAGTCTGGAACCCCAGAAAAGGATTTGGGACCACCCAAATTTTGTGTTAATCTTCCTTCCTCAGTTAAATGTTTGTAGAAACTTCCCCCATGAATGTGTACAGATGTGTGTCTTCTAGGGAATTCCAAATCCAGTCAAGTTAACAATGAAAATTAACAACCACATCTGTGAGTCATACTACCTTACTAAAATATACATTGTTGTTACATTATTGTCATGATACAGAGATCATTTGTGAATCGTTGAAAGATTTTTCTTTTGTTTCTTCCTGCCTTTTGTGTAAATTAATTCACACGATACCATGTTGATAGTAGTGATAAGAGATGATATTTTGAAAGGAGTAGGTTTTTCCGCCTGCCGCTGGTCTTGTCCCACCACCGCGCCAGCCACAATTAACACACAGAGACTCTGTACTAGTTTTTTTTTATCAGCTGTCTCTGTCTTAATTATATCTGTCTCTGGGTTTTTATTACTAAGACCAACTAGAATTCATGGTACAGGGGAAAACCTGAAAATCTTGGCTACAGACATCAAAGCAAAAAGCAAGAAAAACTACAAGACGTGTTGTACATGCTGATCCCATCCCTCCATGACAGATGTCTTTTACCTGCTCAAACAAAAAGCAAAAAAAAAAAAAAAATCATCTTTAGCTGACTTGTGTACACTGCACATTCTATATTTGTGTTGATGCAGATATGTATATTACCTTTAAAATTCTGTGTGGTTTTAGAATCACCACCACAACAAAAAAGTTCAGATACCAATAAAAAGAAGTATCCCACATGATCCATCATTTTAGAATGCCTCTGTTACAGTATCCTCAAAAAAAATCTAAATCCAGGATAATTTCAAAGCTGCTGCCTGGCAGTGTCCAGCCTCACAAACTATTCTTGCCAGGATTTCAGACAAGCCACATAATTTCCATTACACAGAGACTAGACAACAAATGAAGCAGCCAGCTCTCCCAGGACTAGACCATTATTCCAATTTTCTAGGGTCCCTTAAAGATGCCATCACCACTGAAGAGAAGAAAGCAGTCTAGAGAACAAAATGCCCATATTTCCAAGTGGTGGGGTGGGTGGGTTTTCATTATTTGGTGGATTATAGACATCTATCATCATTTAGAAGCATTGGTTACACATTGTTATTGGTCAGGGATAAGCCTAAACAAAGGAGATTAGAATCAGAAATATCCTTCTGAAAAGAGAAAAGGGTAGATATAGGAATTATAGCATGAAAAGGTAGATTATTGACTATTTTTTTATTTTTTTATAACCAAGTCCATTTAAATGAAAACAAACATTTATAGACAATATTTGGGAATTTGGGTGTCTTTCTTTCCAAACTACTTCCTGCTGGTAAGGGGCGCTGTCATGGGGGATTCCAAGAAGACGCAGAAATCCTGGCTGTAGTCCAGAAGGCTGCTTTGTATGAAGCTATAAAATTGAAGACTGGCTTGCTTTGGAGACCCCAAAATGTTTGAGATGCCAGAGTCATAAAATACCAAGGAAAGCTGCTAATAGAGAATGGAAGCAATCCAAGAGAAAGAAGTATGTTATAGTCAACAACAATGAAAAGAGTTGGAGATCTGAAGAGCACTTTGATATCAGACATGGCAATGCAGAGTTTAGAGTTTGTCCAGCTGTTTTTTAGCCATACTTTGGTCTAGTATTTTCTCACTGTGCTTCCTTTCCTCCCTTTTTGAATGGTAATGTATATCCTGTGCTACTTTATGTTGGAAGTATGTGATCTGCTTTTTCATTTTGATTTTGCAGGGGTGATATGATAGTAAAGAGATTGTGTGAGTCTCAGAGGAAACTTTGGACTATTTTATTACTTAGACCAATTAAGAACTCCATTTACATTTTGGTGCCCAACATGAAGCACTAACCCACAACCCTGAGATTAAGAGTCTCATGCTCTACCAACTTAATTTGTCTAAGTAATAAAATCCCAGAGTCAGATATAGAAGAAAATTCTGGTAAATCAGAGAGAAGGAGCACACCACCACACACTTTACCTCCTTATCATCTCAACAAACAAGAGAGTGAGTTCCTGTTTCTCCCTGCTTATATCCTGTTTCTGCCCAGCTACTTCACTTTCTGTCTGTCTGTACAGACCTCAAGACCTCTTGTCTAGCTAGTGGCAAGCTCCACTCTCTGACCTTCAGGCAAGATATATTTGTACAAGCAAGATATTTCCACAGTTTTAAATATTATAAATTGGATTGACTTATGTGTATTGTGTACAAATATTATATATTGATATAAATTTGAGATTAATTTAAGACATATTG